GATCTTTTGTACATATTTTTCCATTATTACCCTTATTTAGCTAATAATACATTACATCTTTTTATATTCACTCTTCACTTTTTCTCATAAAATCATCTCTTTCATTAAATAAGGTTATTATTGACAAGAAAATATTCTTAATTAATGTGCAACTTCTCAAAACGAGATGATTTAAAAATAGGAGGTAGTATTTTTTAGGAATCTATACTTATATAAAAAGTCATCATATTTACTAGAATTAGTAGTAATAAAGGTCAAAGGTAATTAATGCATTCTATTTCCATCCAGTATTTTATTTAATTGTTTTATCTCAACATCTTTTCAATACAACTTACCATGATTTTTCTATTGTGATTAAAAACCAGATTTTACGTTTAAAATCTTGTGAGATTATTATTATTATTTCTATAAAGCACATTATATTTGTTGAAAAATTGTATATATATCTATATATCTATATATCTATATATATATATATATATATTTATATATTATACACATCGCAGTACCATGGTAGATGATTTAAATTTCAACCGAACAAAATGTCAATGATTTAAATTTGAAGACACCTATGCGTTTGACCAAATGTCTGGATGATTTACAAATTGAGCCCATAAAAAAATATTTAAATTTGAACACATCAGAAATTTTATGTACTTTTTATTTATAAGTATATTGAAAGTGGTATCTAATGGTTGTTATATAAACTATTTGAATATATTTGCAATGAATAAAAGTTTGAATGATTACTTTGTGAAGTTATTCATTATGTTTGCGACTTATGAGACACGAACACATAACTTCATACATTTTTTATTTTTTTATTTTTTTTAACTCCATACATATTTTCTTAATAATTTTCATAGATTGTTCAAAGCTGTAATGAATCAACAAATCGTGGAATAAATAAAAATCATGAAAACGTTTCCTACAGTGATAAAACGTTTCAAACTGATAAAGGCTAAAAAACAATATGAAAAACTATTATGTTTGTTTAGATTAACAACATTGATCCAACAAGTTCATCTTTCCTGTTTGGTCAAAATAATAATCAAACTTTGTAAATCAATAAGCAAAATGTTTGGTCAAATTAATAATTAAACTTTATAAATCATTAGCAAATGAAAATCATTCTTTATTGAATATAGAGTATGTTGTAAAATTGAATGTAGAGTATGTTTTAAATCAATTCACACGGTTAAATTTGTGATAATTAAAAATAACAAACTAAAAAAAAATCAAAAAGTTTGGATGACATGTGACATGCATCCCACTCCGAGGAAACCTTTCTCTTATAGCAGAATGCTGGCTACATCTATATCTCTAATTTAATATGTGTAAAAGAACATGATGGATAAAAAAACCTCATCATAACGAGAAAACATTATCTTAATGTAGAATGTTGGCTGCATTTAATAGATTTTTTTTTCTATTTGCAACCAACATTCTAGCTATACTAAATAAACCATTATATCATTAAGATTATATTATAGGTATATTATCAAATCATAAAAAGATATTAAATCCATATTGTAAAAAAAAAAAGTAATTCATATAATTTTATATACTATTTAACAGTATTCTTTTTTATTATATAATAAAATAATAATTAAATATTATATGATGAACAAGAATAAGTGAAACTATTACTTTCTCTTATATCATGGGTAAATTTATATGCTAAAATTAAATTTTTATTAGTATAAATGTTTTAGTGGGATAATATATTAATTATTTTATAAGCTAGCCCTAACCTGCTCATATTTAATATTCTGGCTAAAAAACAATGCTTGTTAAAAAATGTGAAAAAAAGCTTATAACCATATTGTTTTTCTTGACTTACCGTTGATTAAAAGAGGTAGAAAATATATAATAATTCTATTACTTTTTAGACTTAAACAAAAAAGGCTGTGAAAATAACTCATTTAATATTTTTGTCCCATGTATCGCACGAGATACGTCCTAATAAATATTTAACATGATTTCTAACTTCATTAATACTAAAGTTAGATATAATTATTGTCTTCTATATATGGGAAGATTCCCGTAACTGAAAATGGAGGTAGTCTTTTCTCTCTCCTCCTCCTTTTCTACAATCTAGTATTTATATAATTTTTTTTATTGTTGATTGCAAATAAGTTTTGGAATCAATAGTTTTACAAGTATTTAGCAATCGCTATAGTTTATATGTAAATGAGCCTTTATAATAATGTGGACATTTTTTACCAAAATAATGGTGATTTTCCTTTTATAGACCAACTAGAATTTGTCTGCTAAAGCTTAAAAAAACTCTTTGTATTTACCAAATTCTGATATCTTGCACCACAACGTAAACAGTTGATAATATTAACCATAGATATAGTACTTGAATTCTTTAATAAGAATCTAAGTTGGCAATTTAACATATGCCTTAAAATAATTTCTTTTCAGGATTCCTGGATTTTCGAGGACGATAACCTACACCCAATGCATTCCTTCGCTACAATGGCTTGTTACTATCCGTTGCTGTATGATAAACACGAAGACAAAAGGTGTCATTGTGAACTGAAATCACATTTATGTTGTTCCCTTTCTCGAGATTACAGCCTGATTATACGCTCAACGCATTCGGAAATTTTGTCCATGGTGAGTGCTATAGGAGCTCTTGTGTATCTTGCTAATTGCTCCAGACCAGATATATTTTTCCCTACAAACTTATTAACAAGATATAACTCGTCGCCTACGAGAAGACATTGAAATGGAATCAAGCATATATTCCGTTATTCCAAGAAACACTCTATATGCAATTATTTTACTCAAATGATAAAAAACATGAAATGATTGGTTTTGCACATGCAAGATATTTATCAGACCCACATAAGACAATATCTCAAACAAACTTTTCACGATTGGTGGAATCACATTTTCTTGGCGTTATCAGAAACAAACACTAGTTGCTACATTTTAAAATCATGATGAAACACTTCATGAAGCATCTAGAGAAAACATCTGACTCAAAAACATGCCTCAACACATTCAACAAGCTTGTGGATTATCAAATAATAAATATCTGATGACAATATTTGAAGACAAATCAGCATGTGTAGCTTAAACCAAAGAAGGATACATTAAGAGTAACAGAACTAAACATATCTCACTAAAGTTCTTCTCATACACTCAAGAGCTTGAAAGAACAAACAAATCAAGATTCAATACATTCAATTAAGTGATAATGCATGACGCTCCCAACTACAACATTCCGAAAGGACGTCCACAACACTGGAATGAGACATCTTCGAGATATTCACAGATGATAACTCAAAGAAGAGCATGTGCGGCTGTACTTATTTTTTCCTTAACTGTTTTTTTCCGAATAAAGTTTTTAATAAGACAATATAAACGCACATTCTATAGTTGTAATTTCAAGGGGGCGTGTTGAAATTTAATGTACAATGGACTTACCATTATTTGAAAACAGTAACGTGATGATGATAAAATTTTTGTGAAGGAACTGATGTCGGGAAAGTTTGCCTATAAAAGAACACCTAAATGCAATGAAAAATACACATAAAAAGAAGAAAAAAAATTTATAACAACTCCAAATTTCTGAGTGGAACATCCCAAAATGTTAGGAATTTTTTACCGAAAAAAAAAAGAAGTGGACAAAAAAAAAAGGAAAAAATGGGTGGAAATAAATGAAAAGTACGTATTCCGTGAATACGTTTTCCGCACATTTTAATTGTAAAACGTATTCACGAAATACGTTTTCCTTTATAAAAAAATTGTAAAAAACGTATTTAGTGAATACATTTTTTGATTAAAATATACAAAAAACGTCACGTGCATCGCACGAGATACGTCCTAATAAATATTTAACATGATTTCTAACTTCATTAATACTCAAGTTAGATATAATTATTGTCTTCTATATGTGGGAAGATTCCCGTAACTGAAAATGGAGGTAGTCTTTTCTCTCTCCTCCTCCTTTTCTACAATCTAGTATTTATATAATTTTTTTTATTGTTGATTGCAAATAAGTTTTGGAATCAATAGTTTTACAAGTATTTAGCAATCGCTATAGTTTATATGTAAATGAGCCTTTATAATAATGTGGACATTTTTTACCAAAATAATGGTGATTTTCCTTTTATAGACCAACTAGAATTTGTCTGCTAAAGCTTAAAAAAACTCTTTGTATTTACCAAATTCTGATATCTTGCACCACAACGTAAACAGTTGATAATATTAACCATAGATATAGTACTTGAATTCTTTAATAAGAATCTAAGTTGGCAATTTAACATATGCCTTAAAATAATTTCTTTTCAGGATTCCTGGATTTTCGAGGACGATAACCTACACCCAATGCATTCCTTCGCTACAATGGCTTGTTACTATCCGTTGCTGTATGATAAACACGAAGACAAAAGGTGTCATTGTGAACTGAAATCACATTTATGTTGTTCCCTTTCTCGAGATTACAGCCTGATTATACGCACCAGAAGCAGCCACGTAGGCTCAGCGCATTCGGAAATTATATATAGGGAGGATATTTTGATATTCTGGTATTTTGGTAGTTATTTATTACAAAGCCTTGTCAGGTTATCATCCTCACACAAGAAGACTGCATATTTGCAACTAACTAGTATGCAATCATGCATGTCAGCAACTCAAATTCTTCTAGACTTGAAACAAAGCACAAAAATTTAATAAACTCACAACATAAGGAAAAATAAGTGACCTCTTCAGCCTTGATACCAATTCATTCAATCAGTTCATCCTACAAGAGCTTAGGGTAGCTTAAGAAAAAGATCTTGAAAGCCTCTCTCTATACAAGACCCACAAGACGCCATGAGATCAACAACGTAACTTTTTCTCAATCATCCACGCAATTTTTCACAATATCAGCAGGAATTCCAGTTGAACGAACCCACTGAAAATTATAGCATTTTTGTAAAAAATAGAGAAAAACATGTCAATTGGTACCAGTTAAAGAATTCCTACTGCTCTCCCTCTCTATGTCATTCTTCAGAAAGAGGTTGGTAGAAAAGCTTGAAGGCTTCCATGACTTCAAGATACCACATTGGCTCCCTATCAGGAAATGCCGAAAGATCAACCATTTTGTGAACCTGTGAATGCAGATGTCAAGATCCTTATGCTTTTGATTTTTGACGTTGTAATAACATTAATGCCAATGTTAACAATTCTCTCTCCCCACATTCTTTCCTCTTTTTTTTTTTTTCCCTATTTCTACATTCTTTTTGCCTTATTTTCATCCTTTTCTTTCTAGATTGGAATAGCTTTTGTACATTATATTGACATGATCACAGTTCATAAGCACTCACTAAAGCTTCTATGAACCTGAGAGCTACAATGAAACAAACAACTAACCCCAGAAATCCATACAGTCAATGGTAATTTCATCATCAATAACATACATAACCATAATTAGTATATACCAATATCATCAAACAAAGAACGAATCTTAAACAACATAAATCACACTGATCACTCATTAAAGAATCTACACTATTTAATGCAGCAGGTGAAAAAATGAAACATATATATAAGTAATATAAAAAAGTAAATATAAAAAGTAATATACCTTAAGCATCGGGAGATCATCTGAACGGACCACATAAGCTCCAACCACCATTACATACATCCCTAAACAAACATAAACACAGATGAATCAAGGCTATTGATCATTGCTACTCGCGCGCGCACACACACACACACAGAGATAAGAAAGTAGAAGACGAATCAATTGACCCGTTTCCCAAGGGCGGCTGAGATAGTCACGGGTGAGGTACAGCTCGATGACGCCGGTCCCATCATCAAGGAGGTAGCGGCCGCTCGAATCACCGTCCGATGAGGAGGAAGAGGGTACGGAGACGAGAATGCCCTGAAATGTCCAGGGGTTTAGGGTTTTTTATTGGGGTGGGAAATAGTGTGAATTACAGGCGCGTGCGTACCTGAAGCCAGGCGCGTTGGAAGAGAATGCCGCTGACGCCGAGGGTGAAGGCCTTCTGCGAAGGGCTCTGGTGGGCGCTTCTCAGTTGTACGCACAGCAGCTTAAGCGCTGCGACTTCGTAGTTCATTTTTTCCCCTCTCAATTTGTTCGCCTCATATTCAGAGAAATATTGACACTGTATATTTATTTATTTAGACAGTTTATATAATTACATTTGCTTATTATTTAGACAAAATGACTTTTTTTGTTTTCAATTATACTTTTTTATTTAGATAGTTTTACTCCTTTTGGAAAAACCGGCAAAATATTCCAACTGATTTTCCATTTTATTTTTTTATTATTCTTATTTATTTTTCTTAACTGTTCCACTTGTTTTTCTCTCTTTCGTATCTCTTCCCTTTCTTTTTTTTATTCCTCTCCCCTTTATCTCTCCAAACAAAACATCCCAATTTTTTTGTATCTCTCTCCTATCTATTACGTTTTTTTTTTCTTCTCTTGAAAAAAAGCCAGATAAGGCAAATTTTAAAGAAAAAATCTATCGCTTCGTGCAGTTCTTTTGTTTGCGATTACTTTCTGTCCACCGAAGGCCCGATCATCAATTTTCGCTCAATATTGCTCCAAGTTTCGATTTAAATTTCGTAGAGGTGAACTCTTTCTAATCTCAGAGTTTTACCTTGAGTCGAACCTTAATTTTCGAGTCGATTGAACCATGTGTTTCGTTGATTTTTTGAAAAATTCGAGATTTCTTTGTTAATTAGTTTTTCAAGTATGCTTTTGCGTAAATGTTCATTTTATTGTAGTTTTTAGTCTGAGGCGAATTATTTGTTTTATGGGAATAAGTTGGTTATTTTATTTTTAGAGATCAAACTTGTTTGAAAAATATAATGTGACTAAGAAATTTTCAAATATTTCCAGAATCCTGCATTATTGAGTTATAAGATTTATGTTATTTTCTCTGTTTTTTTATGATGACTGAGTGTGTTGTGGCCAAATCTAAGTTATTTTCATCTTACTTTCATGTTGCTTTAAAGTTTTTTTGATGTTGCTTTTTTAGTGTTGTTATGTTATTATTTTTTGTTATTCAGTAGTCTGCTTATTTTTTCGACATAATGGTTCTTGTTGCTGATTTTTTATTGGTTTCACACCTTATGTTAATTCTTCTATTAATTGATTATGTGAAATTTTCTTATGATTTTGTGAAATCTTTTTGAAATGTATTTCATTAGATAGAAACAGAAAAAAAATGCTTTGATTTTTTTTTTTTTTAAAAAAAAGAAGAAGAAGAAGAAGAAGAAGAAGGAGAAGAAGAAGAGGAGGAAGAAGAAGGAGAAGAAGAAGAAGAAGAAGAAGAAGAAGAAGAAGAAAGAAGAAGATAATCGTGAAAATTGGAGAGGGAGAATAGGAGAGAGAAACAATTCGTTCCTTTTATATTTTAGCAGTTTCTATTTTCCTAATTGTAACTGATTTTGGAGTAGATATGGAATTGTGTATGTCCTGTAATTGTTCCGGAATATCTTTCCCAAACTGAGGCAGTTATAAAATTTTCCCCATATTAAGATGGCTGGGTTTAGAGATGTTAAATGGTCCTTGGCCCGACGGGCCGGCCTGTTTAGCCCGAAAAAAAACAGGGTTAGGTCCTTTTATTAGTAGTCCGTTTAAATCAGGGCTTTTTTAGGCCCGGACCGTTTAGCCCGAAGCCCACTAGGGTTAGCCCGAAACCTGCTAGGGCTGGCCCGTTTAACTAGGGTTGGGCGGTGTAAATGTTTGCATCAAGTAAGTAATATGCTCTTATATTACTTGTATATTACAATTTTGGTTTTCCACTTCACATGTAAGTATGAGTTGTAATGAATTATTATGATTTTGAAAGATAATTATTAATAATATTGTTATTGTACTTCATACGAAAATACTTAAGCCAATGAGAACGACTAATAAGAAACACATAAAACATAGTGATAGGCGGTAAATATTAAATAGCCGTTGAAAACAATTTTTAACTAGCCGTTGTTATTTTTTATATATTTTTTACTCTTTTTATTTTTGATTTTATTATTATTATTATTATTATTATTATTATTATTATTATTATTATTATTATTATTATTATTATTATTATTATTATAGCCCGCATAGCCCGTTTAGCCCGAAGCCCGCTAGAGCTAGGGTTAGGTCCCTTTTTTGGTAGCCCGTTTAAATCCGGGCTTTTTAAGCCCGGACCGTTTAACCCGAAGCCCGCTAGGGCTAGCCCGAAACCGTTAGGGCTAACCCGTTTAACATCTCTAGCTGGGTTTGTTTACAGAAATTTTTCAAAAAAATTTCATATTTGTTATAAATATATTAATATGGACATTACTAATATATAATTGGACCTGAAATCTATTAGTTAATAGGGTTAGGTTTTCGGGTTTTTTCCTTGTAAACTCTATAAAAAGAGTGAATACCGATGAATAATAGATAGACTTTTCTGCTCCCCTTTTCTTGTTCTCTTTACTGCACATCTTTATGTTTGGTTGATTCATTGTTGCTTGGTGAATATAAAAGAGTTCCAATTTACAACACGTTATCAGCACGCTCTAGTTCGTTATTGGTGTTTGCCCTAGAAAAAAATCGTGTTTTTCCTGCAAGGTATTTTCGAGATTTGTTTCCTTAATTTCATAAGAATTTCATGTTCAATGAATTGCTTCAATGCTCTGTTACCCAAAGGATTTGGAATTAATTTTTGTGTTCGTAAATTCTGTTAATAAAATATGATTTGGAATTAATTTTTGTGTTCGTAAATTCTGTTAATAAAATATGAAATTCGAAACAAACGCATAAGTGAGTTAAATGAATAACCTTTGATATTAGTAAGAGTTTTTCATATGTACCAAAGGACATCTTCATATCCCTTTCGCGCACTTCTTGATTTGCCTGGTACATCAATGACTTAGACACTCAAGCACGGCACATAACAATTTTGACAAAAATTTTTTTTCTTCTCTTTCTGGACAACTCCGCAAATATAATGGAAATTGCCGCAAGAGTTTTTTTTTCTTTCTGGACATGTATTATATTATTGGATTGTCATTGAATTATTTGTTTTTCAATCAGGTTGCCTTGCTGATTATTGAATTACCGAATTTGGATTCTTCACATAATTATTTGCTTACATGAATTAACGTTCTCATGATTGGAGAATTCTTTTGGTTGTGAATTATTTGCTGGATGTTGGAATTGACAAAATTTCATATGCGGCTTTATTTTCATCGTGAATTATTTGATACGTTGGATTTTAAGTGTTGTGATTGAGATATGTTACAATTTTGATAATCTCATAAAAACGCTATATATCATTCATGAAATCAAATTTTTTTTGTGATAATATAATTTTTTTGATAAAATTGTAGAATTTGACAACAACTGATATCACCAAAAGAGAATTTGCTGAGCTCGCCCTTGATGGGAGTAATTATTTGACTTGGGCCCTTGATGTTGAGATTCACCTGGCCTCGTTCGACTTAAGTGCTACAACTGCTTCTACATCTCAAAGCACTCATGCCCAGAAGGCAAAGAAGGCATTGATTTTTCTCCGCCACCATCTCAATAAAGATCTGAAAAATGAATATCTTACCGAAAAAGATCCAGCCAATCTTTGGAAATCCCTGAAGGATCGCTTTGACCAACAAATGGGCATAATTCTCCCTCAAGCTCAGTATGACTGGCTTAATATTCAGTTTCAGGACTTTAAATCCGTCACTGAATATAATTCGCCCTACAAAGTATTGTTTCACAGCTGAAACTCTGTAAGCAGAACATTACAGAGGCCGAGTTGCTTGAAAAGACTTTATCAACTTTTCATGCTAGTAACCTTGTACTCCAGCAACAGTATAGGGCTAAAAACTATGCAACTCACTCTGAGCTGATATCGGCCTTGCTTGTGGCCGAAAAACACAATCAATTGTTGATGAAAAATCATAATGCTAGGCCTGTTGGAACTCAAGCTGTGCCTGAAGCACATGCGACTACTCACGGGCATCATAATATGCGAGGGAGAGGTCGAGGATACCATACCCAGCCACCCCGTGGTGGACGTGGTCGCAGTCGTGGTCGTGGACGCGGTCGTGGCCGTGTTTGGACTCGAGATGGTGGGCGAGGTCATGGTGATAACGTCCCGGGAGGTCGTAGCGAGAACTTGAACATTGAGGTGAATCGTTCAAATCGACGCGATTCACATCCACAACCTAAAGAGCAGAAGCAGGTTTGCTTTATATGTGGATGCAATAATCATTGGTCCCGCACATGTCGTACTCCTCGGCATCTAGTTGAGGCCTATCAAAGAATGCTCAAGGATAAGAAAGGAAAGGCTCCTCAAGGTGAATCACATCATGCTAGTTTGCCTGAAGCAAATTTAGCTTTCAATGTTGATGATGATGATTTATTGAAACTTGAGCTCAAGGACTATGTTGATGATGTGTGATTAATATGCATTCTATCTTAGAACTGGATATTTTTATTTTGTCGTTTGTTTCTTGCTATTAGACATTTCTGATTTCTTTTGCTTTGCCAGACATTAGTGGTTTGTTTTTGCTATTGGTATGTTTTCAGACGTTATGTTTTGATTGGGACTTCATGATTGCTTTGTTTGCTTACAATGTTTTACTTTTCTTTTAGTGTACCACAACCATTCATTCGTTTGCATTATATGGAAAAAGAGGGCGTTTTATGTCTAGTCGACAGTGCTACTACGCATACTATCTTGAAAGATTGAAAGTTTTTTTCAAACTTTAAATGAAAAAAAATGAAGTGTTTCTACAATTGATCATGATAAAATATTGATAGTAGGCTCCGACAGAGCTTTACTTACTCTTCCTAATGGTACCGAATTAATAATTAACGATGCGCTTTTGTACCCTGATTCAAAAAGAACACTCTTTAGTTTTAAAGATATTCGATCTAATGGTTTTCATCTTGAAACTAAGACTGAAAACAATATAGAGTATCTTCTTATGACTCATTCCCAAGGAAGTCAAAAGAGAATTGTAGAAGAACATCCCTCTTTCTCCGCAGGCTTGTACCATACTTACATTCAACCTTGTATTAATCATGTTGCATTGAGCTTAAAATTTAAAGACCCATATTCATTTA